GTGCAATAAAGGCTCCTCTACTAATTAGATTAACACTACCACCGGCTCAGCAATTAGGACTTACTAGAGAGTGGACTCCAGTTCCTCATAGAACTTCAGATGAAGGACCTAGTCAATCGATCGAGTTCCGGAGGCCTGGCGCGCAGGTAGTATGTAGGTTTGCTACGCATTGACAAAAAACTTTTGTTCTATCACTGATAATCTACCAGTTTTTGACATTCTTATGAGTAGGTAGGTCAAGGAATGGCTAGATGCCACCTCCTATGGAAGTCCGGAGAGACTCGCATTCAAGAGATATAGCCTTCCCATGCGCTCTACTGCACTTCCAGCTTACGTTGGCGGATTAGAACCTGCAATGAAGAGGTCCTCAGAGGTCTTCTCCAGACTCTATCGATCTACCTGGGACTTTAGTAGAAGTTTCACGGGAAAGCTGGTCCAAGTCACCGGTACTTAACATTTGCCTTATTGCTGCCTTGAGGCTGCTCTACCGAGCTGGTCACCTCGCAGCCGTTGTGAGGCCTCTGTTTTCCTCCAAGCTCCACAGGCCCTTCTTCCTAAAAATAACTACTAGCTTTAGCTTGGCCTTTTTTCCAATTCTTTTTCTTCCTCTCTTTACTCACTACAGCTCGTTGTTAATATGTTCTAATTGAGGTGGACTATGAACTGAACAAGTCGAAAGCCAAGGAGGCAGCACGATCAGGAACGCCATGGGTATCTATTTACCTCACAGGCGGATGTGCATTTATTCAAGCTGCTCAATTCAACATGTTTACGAATTCGATGTGGCCTTATCTTCGAAAGGTTCATTGGGACTCCATCCTCTTCCAAGTTTCTTCCATTTTGCCGAATAATAAGTACTGTAGTTGAATTCTGATGCGGTGGAAACTGAATACGGCTACATCACCGCTCTGTATAGCTTTGGTCAATGTATAATGGCGCCTTCTTTTGGATTTTGGAGCAATCGGATAGAGCAGGTCAGGCCTTTTCACAGTAAAAATTTGCCACTTTTCCAAGTAAAACCCTAAAATGATAATTTTTTTGAATTCTCATTTCAATTCTTCGATATGTATCATAGGTTCGACTACCTCTGCTAGCAGGCTTTGCATTCATGATGATGGGGAACTTTGCATATCTGTTGCTTGAGCTTTTCCCCGGTCAAATGCAGCTTTTGTCATGATGGTGGCACGATTCATCTGTGGTTGCGGATCGGGTAAGGAAAAAGTCAGCTCATTTGATTTTTAAAAGAAGGGCACTGGTACAGTCTTGTTCGCTGCCGCTGATGGGGTGTGTCACCGAGGCTGGGTCTGGCGGGCGCGCCGCCAGACCGCTCTTCACCAGTTGTTTGAAGCGGGTAAGCGACAAATAGGCGAAAAAACGCCTGTTCACGCCTAACGATATGGATGTCAATGTCTTCTAGTCGATTCATTACGAGAAGCACACGTTAAAAGAAACGGAATTTCAAGAGCGGGATGCACCCAGGCCGTCAGGGAATTCATTTCCTCCTGGCCGGCAGTCCCATCATCAAGGCGAAGCAAGATTGATGTTGACTAACTATGATGTAATGCCGCCACCTGAACCTGCGAGGGGACACCAGTGGGTATGCTCATCGTGTGGGGACGTTGAGGGGAGGGGGGGAGAGCGGAGGGAGATTGACAACTGTAACTGCCTTCCCTATAAGTGTCCCTCTTGTTCTCAAAATACGAAACTAACAAGGAGTGGCCCATTGAGGGACGCAGGAAGGTTCTCTTTCTAACCAAATAGATGTCCTCCTGCTGCTTAGGGTAGACGCTCGCCAAGAACCACCTACGCCCTCCAGGGTTTCGCGAGAAAACCTTTTGTTCCATTCTGCAAAGGTCCCGGCTTTCGGCGGTGCGCTGTGACTAGGAAAGCGTCACTCATATTTCTGAAATACTGTAGTGCCACCGGTAAAAAAATACGCTAATCCACTACTGCCGAGTGCTGCCAAAAATGTTTCACAGTACACACCACTCGAGTTATCTGTAGGAACCCAGACAATAAGACGATATTTAAGGAAACATGGCTCTTCTCAGGGCATACGTGGCGACGTCATCTTCCAAGCAAGATCGTGCACGTGCAATTGCCATTGTGAGCGGAGGAGTCGCAACAGGAACGCTCATTGGGCCAGGTGATTTCAAATACTTTATAAGGAGTTATTTATTACTATCACTTGTTGTCACTTATTAAGACTCGTGCGGCTTATATGTACTGCTGTAGAAACAGCTGACGAATCGCAGTTTCACTTGTGGATGTCTATTTTCAGCTTTCCAGTTGCTCTTCACACCTCTTGGGCCGAACGGTGTTCACGTTCTTCCATTCCTTCGACTGAGCATTTATAACGCACCAGCATTATTTGCCCTATTATTGAATATGTTAGGATTTCTGGCTATCGTATTCGTGTTCGTTGAGAATTACGATGTGCTAAACACAGCGACCACTGAGGTCAGACAGCTTTCTGTAGCCACTTACAGATCGCAAATAATTTTCGTGTTATTCTACTTCAGTTACCTTCTTTGTGGTTAACTTAGAGGTTCCCAATCGAATTTTTCAAATTTTCGAAGAAAAGGTAAACGAAAAAGAACAATCTTTTAGGAGAAAACGGAATTGCCATCACCGTGCTTGATGGCTGTGGCTATTTGTGCCTCGACACGATTCGTTCAAATATTCGCTTCTGCATCGTCGGGAACGTACGTTGAAAGTAAAATTGCAGAAAAATAATGCCGAAGCGCTCTGGATGGTTAGAATAACAAGAGGGTAAAGCTGATTAGGGTTCCGTTGCGAAACTAGTTAAGCCATCGTAGTTTAGTTTTGCAGAGATAATAGTTGTTTATTGCTACGGAAATAGACGCAAAAGTCATTACAAGGATGCTGAGCTTGAAGCTAAGGACCCTGTCCTAGCTAAATATTGAATCGCCAATTCCGGGCTAAAGTGCTAGCACCCATAACACTCTCCTTGTCACTTAGCGACATTTACTGTAGCTTAGCAGTAACCTCACAGGAACAAACCCCAGCAGCACAAGCACCACCGACACATCATTAGTAGGGTATCCTGGTCGAATCCGTGCGCCCCTCCCCCCCC